TTTTTTCGATTTCCCTATTACTCCCATATTGTTGAAAAACGTGAAATTTCAAGTTCACTCATAACAAAAATGACTCGCATCGCTAGAAAGCTCATAAAAACTACATATAAGACATTTAAACAGTCACCTAAATTTTTCAAGCGTTTTTCGAGTTATTGCTGTTCCAAATGTGAAAAATAGGCCAAAATCTGGCAAAAATCCTGGGTACTAGTCTGACAACACGGTTCCAACAGCTCATAACTCAAGAAGAACTTGCAAAATCAAGGTAGCCGTTTAAATAAATGTCTTATATGTAGTTTTTTGTAAGTTTTCTAATGATGTAACTTATACAATATAGGAGTTCACTAGGGAAATCGAACAAAAAACTTGTCATAATGGAGAAAGCTCCAAGAGGATACACGAGGACTTTTAGTATGTTATCAAGGTTGCTGAAGAGAGTGCATACGCTAATTTTTGGCTTTTTACTAATTTTTTCTGACCTATTTTCTATTTTGATCGTACTAAAAGGCCTGTTTACACTTGATATTAGAATGCTGGTTTTAGGGTTAGTAATCCAAGTGAGTATATATACACTTTAAGACCTGACCAGGAACGACTGCGAAAAATGCAGCACAAGGTCTCCTGCAAGAAACAAGATCATTGAAGTCCACCTTATCACAACCCGCACACCCGATCGCCTATATATACATGAACTTACGGTTACAGCTTAACAGCTGGCCTCTGTAGCTCAGTTGGTTAGAGCGCTGCACCGGAATCGCAGGGCCGTAGGTTCAATTCCTACCAGAGGACCTTGTGCTGCATTTTTCGCAGTCGTTCCTGGTCAGGTCTTAAAGTGTATAAAAGTACTCACTTGGATTACTAACCCTAAAACCAGCATTCTAATATTAATTCCACCAAGTGAAGTGCAAGAAACAAGATCATTGAAGTCCAACTGTTTACACTTGCAATTTCTGCTGCGATTTTAGGTGCGATTTCCTTCTTCTGATTAATGTGAAGAGTTATTAATATTGAGATGAGGGTACATACACTCAGAACCAGGGCCGTTGCGAGGGCTTTGCCTCAGGGGTGTAAGGTTAAATTTACCTGAATTTATAAAATTGTTTTTACCTGATTTTGCACTAATCAATATTTTTTTCCCAAAAGTGTTGGCGAGCGGCGGGGCATAGCAAAAAAAAAATTTCCGCACATACAAAAATTTTTCCTAATATATAATTATTTTCGCAAACATACAAAAGATTTTCCGGACATATCATATTTTTTCCGAAAATACGAAAATTTTTCCGGACATAACTTATTTTTTCAAAATTTTTTTTCAAACTTTTTCCAGAGATACAGTCATTTGTCCAAATTCACTTTCTCATGCCCTGAGAATTACATGAATTTGACTGAATTTACCTAAAAATCTACTGGAAATCTACTATCAGGGGGTGTTGCACCCCCACCCCCCCGGTCGCTACGGCTCTGCTCAGAACCGTTCATACTCTTCTTCCCGTTCACATACAATTCAAGTTGTAAAACGTTTGCCTGCGACAGTTTTAGGCAGAAGTTGTGTAGTGTATAAATCGGCCGAATAAATTAAGCCGGTTTTCCACTATAGCGAAATTTTTCGCGCGAAGCGACCTTTTTCCTATTTTCTTATACGTCAGCAAGACGTGGCAAAATGGATGCCGACAAAGGAAAAAGGTCGATTCGCGCGGAAAAAATTCGCTAGTGGAAAACCAGCTCCATAGTCGCGTTTTTTGTCGCTGCAAAAATCACCTCGTCTAATATAATCTTAAAATATTATGTTTTTGAAACGAGCAGCATATCAAATAAACATGATTTATCAAATAAGGAAACGAAATTTACAGCAGGAAACCGGTTCCACTTAGGTTAAATAAATGCAATTATCAATATTTAAATAGGCAAAATAGCTCAATTTTAGTTCCCGCTTGCCGCCATGGCACTTAAAAAATTCTTTATCCGCATTTTTACCTGAAATGGATTTATCAGCATTTTTCCCTGAAACGATTTATCAATCGTATATTCGTACGTGCGACCTCCCAAATCACAGGCGAAATTTTATGCTTGGATTGAGGTGTGGAATTTTAAAACTTTGGAAATCCGAATGCTTTTGGATTTCCAAAAATATAGTATTCGAGATAAACGTTTAAACTAGCCCACAGCGGGAAACAGTGGCGCTGAACATAACTGTAAACTGGACTTTTAGGCTTCTGGACTCTGATGTTACGTACAATGTACAATATTCAGCCATACAATGAGTATCAAAATGGATAATCTCCTAGGCTAGCATTATATAAAAGCATTTTAATCTACTGACGTCTGTTTGGATGAAGTCGAGTTTAGTCAAAGGAAAACACTACCCGACTTATAAACCAAAACCCCTCATCCTCGGGAAATTCTTGATTTTGTCTCGTCTATGAAATAACATTTCCCGCATTCAGACAGTACATTTGAGAAGAAAAACAGAGCCGTTTTAAAACAGGTTTTAAGTAGCGTGTTGAAAGCATATTGTAAAATATCAGCACGGAGCAAGATGACTTCAAAACCGGAGATGAACCGTGTCAACGAATTTAAGCAAAGACGAAATATAATATTCGTCTGCTAATGTGTCTGTAGGCCTCTGTACGAAGTCGTGCGAATACACGGCTGAGATATTTTTTGAAAAGAGATTTGGAAAGAGAGCTGGTGTGAAACATTGAAGATATCAGAAAGGTTTGGGGAGACAGTGGGAAGAGACCGTGGTTGTGGGATTACAGTGGGAAGCAAGGCTGAGCTGATCATATGGGCACGTAATAAGAAGAGATAAAGGAGAGCTGGTCTGAATCATTGAATATATCAGAATGTTTGGGGAGACAGACATCGCAGAGAAGTTGCGGGAAGCAAGGCTGAGATGATATGGACACGTAATAAGAAGAGATGAAGGAGAGTTGGTCTGAATCATTAAATCAAAAGGTTTGGGGAAGACGAAGCTAGGCGAGTTGGTCAGAGACTTCATGGAATGAAGAGATCAGAAGAAGATGTGGGTGGTAGACATTACAGAAACGATAAGAGAAGCAAGGCTGAGATGATCAAACTGTGAAGTTGCCTTAACTAAGAGGCAGTTTTCACTGAGTCTATACTTGAACTCATGAGTCCAAAATCAATCCAGGTTACTGTATAACAGTGTTTCTCAGTACGCCCACTAATTGCCCACCTGTCGTCTATATAATAATATCAACATACGTGTAATGCAACTCAGTCAATATCGCCAGATGCCATCGGGCTATTATATTTTGACACCAAAGCCATACTGCATGTTATACACATGTGAAATTACAAGCTATATATGCGAGACGTGCTGTGATCGAAGCGAAATCAATACAAAATCCACATCGTGAAAATGATTAAACGGCCACCACCTATCATTTTAATTCAACTCAACTCCGAACCAACTATCGCTGCAGAAGGAAACTTTCACTTTTTGGAATACTTAGAATTCAAATTATATCGGTTTAATTTGGATTCGTTTATAAAGTTCGAACGCGGGGACGATTGGATTCCGGATCGAATCGAAGAAACGGCGGAAAAAATCCAGGATATATGCGGCCTCCTGGAACATTTATATCCAAAATTATACGTACACGTTTCACGACAGCTGAAAGTCACATTACGAACAGAGCTTATTATTTGTGATATATTTCGATGCTTTTGTCGAACCTTGTTTAAAACTGGCATTAGTTGGCCTCGGATTCTGGCATTATTTGCGTTCGCCAGTGGCCTCGTAGTTGACTGTATTCGCGAAGGCCGACCTGAATTTGCTCGCACTGTTGTTTACTGTGTTAAGGCTTTTATTGAAGATAATTTGTCTGGTTGGGTGAAAGATCAAGGCGGTTGGGTAAGTTTAGGTTTTGGTTTTTATTAAGCAGTGGATTTTCAGATGAGCAGGGCCCTTTTTAAAAGCCCCATACAGACCCGCATTTTTTTCTCGGACAAGTTTTCCTTGACAAATTGTATTTGCTCGTGTGTCAAAACATTGACAATTTTTCCTTGGCAAGGGGGCAAGGTACTGTAGCCTTATTCCAAATCTATAGACTCATGCCAGCTATTGGACAAGAAAAATTTGTTCGTGTAATGCCGCAAAGCCAAAGGAAAATCTGAGTGTACAAGAAATATTTCTATAGTTTCTGCAAGCCAGGAAAATTTGACAAGTATACAAGAAACACTTCAGTCTATAGCTTTTGCAAACAAAAGGCAGCCTTGACGCGAAATAAATGTTTTCAAAACAACATTCCGTACACTAGCAACAAGCCGTGTAAGGGAAACTTGTCAATGAAAACGTACTCGTCTGGATGGGACTTTATCATTACTAAACAGGTTCAATATCGTCGAGATAGCTGCATCTATCTGCTTTCTATACAAACTAGGGAAGATTTGCATATAGTCTTCATGTTTTCTCGATCTTTTTTCTGTTTGTGCACCTTCAAAAAAAAACCCATTGTTGAGGAAACAACATTTGCTAGGGGCTACTAGGGAAGCAATTTCTTTGCTCCGTTTCCTGCAACGCAATTTCCGACACAGACATTTTTGTCGTCTGATATTTTTAACTGCCACGACTCACGAGCGAGGCAGGTGTTCAAACGACCTTTAGTAAGTACAAATGAAGAGGGTCATCCGTCGAGAGAGTCTGTGACAGCCTTCAAGACGAACTTGTATGTATACTTCATGAATGACCGTCTCTTCGCCAAATTTATTTTGCACACACGAATTATCAAATGACCCATTTTTTCATGGCCCAAAAGTGAGTAGTCTTCGACAGATGGCCACGCGCAAAATGACATTAATGAATGGTATTTAGTCTATTCAGTACATTCAGTACAGTATTATTTTTGGACTTTTAGGGTTAGTATTAGGGTTTGGATTAGGGAAAGGATTAGGGTTTGGATTAAGATTAGGGTTAGGATTAGAGTAAGGGTCAGGTTTAGGATTAAGTTTAAAATACAAAATAATACAAAATTACAAAAGTCTAAAAATAGTAACTCCCCCTAAAGGCTGCTCTCCAGTCACGCGTTTTTCATACGTGCGCAGGCAAGAATACGCACAGAAAAGTTTAAATCTTTTAAAATTTAACACTAGTATGAATTATCCGCTGTACAAATGCACATTAAATCATTCACAAAACTATATGCTTTCCTTTTATTCATTCAGTTATTTCATAAGTAACATTTAAAGATATTTCAACTTTTGCGTGCCCACACGCACGTATGAAAAACGTGACTGGAAAGCAGCCTTAAAACGTGACAGGTATAGCCCACCAGTGACGCCGCCGGGAGGGGGCGAAGGGGGGATGGCGAAGGCAGCCGTCCCATGCCTCAATGTTTTTCAGAGTGTAGTTAATTTTAGATTCATTCAAATTCGATGAAAAATTGGGGGAGGAAATCTATCATCGGACAGGATGTCGCGTATTTTGCGCGATCTACTGAATAGACAACTTGCATGTTTATAGACTAATTTTTTATCTAGGCAAAAAAAGTAAATTCCCGTAAAGAACTTATTAGAATTAGTAAAATCGCAAAATTTGGTTACGAAATGTTGTAAAATACGGAAAATATAGCCTCGCGAAGTTTGCATATTTTGTATATGTTTGTATTACGTGCAAACATTGAACATACACAAAATTTGCAAACTTTGCAAGACTATATTTTCCAAGCTAACAAGCTTTACAACATTTCGCAACCAAATTCTAGCTGTGGTGTTTGATTCCCTTCTCTTTACTTATTATTTAGGCATCCTTCGACCTTTGGCCAGCAATTTTATGTCGTAGTAACTTCTAATATATTATATATCTATATTTCGTTTTCCAGGAAAACATATTGGAACATTTTCACTGTGCAGGGCATAAAGACAGCTGGTGTGACGTCATAGCCTCGTTCCCAGGCCTTATGTGGTCTTTCCTTCTCTCGCTTCCGACGAAAATGGAAAACTTTGGAACCATGTTAAAACTTAAAAGGCAGTAGATAAAGAGAGATCAAAGAGGGCAGAAAACCTGTTGCAGTGGGATTCATATGTACACACGTAAAAACGCACAAGTTGTAACAAACCTATAACAAACCTGCAGCAGACTTGTAGCAATGCTGTTCCAACAACTTGTCAACAGGATGTGTTCGCACCGCTTGTTTCCAGCTTGTTGACACTAAGTGGTCAATAGCCCTGTTCGCAGGCTAAGTGGTCAACGGACTTGTTAAGCTCAGCAAACTTGTTGCAATTAGTTTTTCCTACAACTTGTTATATATCGTCCTGCAATTCAACAATTTGTCAACAAGTCGTGAGTGACAACCTTGTATATATATAGCAACTTGATAAAATAACAGCATTGTTACAACGTCTTGTTGACAAGCAAGCTTGCTACAAGCTTGTTGCGAACACATCCTGTTGACAAGCTGAGTGATTTTTACGTGTGGATCTCAAGAGAGAACTCGAAATGCGACTTTTTATTATTGTAGTTGTTTGTATAATGGTAAATTTACAATTACAACTTTTAAAAGTTGCTTTTCACGTTGTTTGAATTGTCTAGAATATTTCACGAGGGCAGACAGTACCCCAAAAATGGTGGATTTTGGCCTTCGTGCGAAAGGCTAATTGAAGTCCCTTGATCTTTGCAACGCATGTAAGAATCAAGTTTTGATAATTTTTACTCGCAATTTTGCATCGAAATTGAGTGGCTTAGCCTTAGGGGCTGATTACATGGACCGGGCCAGCCCGGTTAACCGGGCTGAAAAATGTCACGAAAATCTTCCTTGGGCCGCAAAATGAGTTTTAAATCGGGTTTAGGATGATTTTGCATCTATAATAAACCAATTATTTATCGCAAATTTATTTTACGCGAGTTTTAAAACCACAGTAAGGTCCTAAACAAACGAGTCAGCCCGGTTAACCGGGCCAGCTCGGCACCATGTAATCAGCACCTAAGGGGCTGTTTATATGGTCCCGCTTATACCCGGGATTCAATGAAGTGTGACGTATTTTGAGCAATTGAAATGAGTCGCAGTTCATGATCATCTAACAAAATTGCTTGTTACAAATTGTATGAAATTCCATGTTTTAGACAATCGTCTTTGTCCACTACATAACTTCTAGCGCGTCCATAATTTCGTTTAAACAACATTTAAAGTTATCTAACTTTTGTTCAGGGCTGAAACACTCAATTGCTCAAAATACGTCACACTTCATTGAATATCGGGTAAGCGGGACCAGCCCCTAAAACATTTTACAACACTGCAAATTTGCAGACTGAACTCACAATGGCACCAAATGTTCGAAAATTGGAAGATCGTATTTGGTCATTTTTTATCGCAGTCATATAACAGCTAAAAGCCTGGGGCCGGTTGTACGGAGGAGGCCGGATAGCGCTCATATCCACTGGATAGTGATTTTCAACCTTTGTAAAGCCGTTTTCCACTTCGCCCGTATCGTGCCGAAACGTACTGGTGAGCATGCGCAGATTGAAGCCCCGTTTACACTACGCTCAATTTTTGGTACCGTACCACTTTTTGGTTCTTGGACTATCTAAATAGGTAGTCCAAGAACCAAAAAAGTGGTACGGGTACCAATTTTATCCGTGCCGCACCAAAAATTGAGCGTAGTGTAAACGGGGCTTGAAAAGAGGTTTATAAATCCACGTACTTCCGGGTGTATTCGCGTATCAAAATAAAAAGTTCGTCGCAAGTCAACTTTTTGGCGTACTACGTCTACTGAAATACTAACCAATCAACATTCACGGCCATTCACGAAATTTTGAAATTTAAAAACGTTTTTGATACGTTTCGGTACGGTACGCTTCAAGTGGAAAACCGGCTTTAAAATGCTTGAAAAACTGTGAAACTACGGATATAGACGACACAAGAAGTACAAAAAACATTTAACTTATAAATACTAACTTTAAGTATAACTACTAACTTTAAGTACAACGTTTCCAGTTCAATTTATACACTACTCTGATTCTCCATTTAACATGCGAGCCTCTAGTCCTATAATAGGGTACATTTTGCTTTACGTTGGACAAAGCTACAGTTCGGTCGGACACCAATACACTCGGGTCGGACAAACAATAAACCTCAGTTCAGGTCGGACAGTATTATTTCCGGTGGTTTCCTCTTTACGTCGGACAATTTCACGAATGGGTCGGATAATGTCCGTGACCGCCCAATATTTTAGGCCCGAGCTCACTGGTCCCAGTACAGACAGTACAGTTAGGCTTCACTACCACATATATTTTATACCACGCACTGCGCTTGCAACCGACAGTTTAAAGATTCTACGTACTGGTCGTACTCTCGCCGGCTCTACCGGCCAAAATTCGGAGATTAGGTATAACCACTGCATTCCTTTTGACCACAAGATTCTTTAACCCATTTCGAAACTGTCCGTTCTGAACCATGAATATAACTGGATTGACACTCGAGCTGAACATTGCCAACAACATTGTGGAAAAAAACAGCGCATTCGGGACAGTCGTGTATCGCCTAGCAACAAGCACGACAGCAACCGGCACGGAGCATACAAGAAACGAAGCGATCACTATTCCCAGAAACTTTGTAACTTTTTTTCGATGTGTTTGAAGAGCCGTGCGGTTTGTTGGCACCTGACTTAGTGTTCGGTCTGTATCCGAAAACCATAGTACGACCACTGTTTTATAAAAACAGTAGGACATGAGCCCAAGTGGTACTACAAATGCTATAAAAGTTATAACAATGACATATATAGCCATATAAGGGACGGCTATTTTACAGGCGTGCCGTTTCGGATCGAATTTTGTGTATATTATAACCGGAGTTAGAATTGTCACCGATATTCCCCAAATTATTCCGACTATCAGTTTGGTGTTGCGTTGCGCGACTCTGGCTTTGAAAGGCTGGCAAATGTGATAAAACCGTTCCCACGTAATTACTGTTAAAGTTAAGCTCGATACGACCATGCTCACAGCTGGAAACGGGCAGGTATGCACAAGTTTACATAACCAGTTCAAAGGAAAATTCGTCGAGCCCTCTTTCAAGGTTTCTCGAACGACGAACGAGACGATACTCGACAGGCCTAATGCCACATCGGAGGCGGCCAAATTCATGAAAAGATAATGAGTGAAATTGTGCATTCCAGGGGTTTTGTAAGTTACCAGAATTATAAGTGGGTTTCCCAGAAGATTGAGTAGGACGGACAAGAAGCATATGTATAGATTCCAGGAATTGAAGAGCTCACTTTTCGCAAATATATGGCCAGAATTGGGGGTTGTGTGGTTGTCTACCGAACAGACATTGTAGAAGTCTGCCATAGTCGCGGTGGGTCCACAGTGTTGCATGAGGAATGTTCAACCTTTGTCACAGAGATTACAATGGATACCAATGGATGTTATAGGACTACCATACAGGGATTCCAATGGATACGAATGGATGTTGTATGGATATATTGGGATTACAATGGATATAAATGGGTGTTATATATGGATTTCAATGGATGTAATAGGTAGAGCATACAGGGATTGCAATGGATACCAATTGATCTTACAATGAATGTTCAGCCTTTCTTACAGCGATTGCAATGGATGCAAAAGGATATTATAGATATTCCGTAACTGAAGAATACCGACTCTCGAGCCCAATTTTTCTTTGATTATATTCCAACTTTTGTCCAGAAATTTCAATGGCGTTTGTAGCGTGTTCGAGGACAATTAGGAACGAGTTTAACTTTTTTTCTTACTCTTTTATCCTTCCTAAAAAAACGCAAATTGTGTCTTAAAATGTTCCTGTCCAGTTACAATCGCAGCTTCCTCTACGCCTGTTCACTCGAACGCAAACGAGAAATTAAAATTGCCGCAAACAACTGTCCGAGACCAATACAATCTCTCAATATCCTCTCTTTCAATTGTAGTTACATACAATGACTTCGAATGATAACAACTGTTAACAGTTTATTGTCGGTAATGGCTGAAATTGTTATGAATTTTGTATGTGATCCGAGAAACCTGAAATTATGACGGAATTGTTCTGTAGTTACAACACCATGCACCTTTATCCTCGCTTCCAATTCTCGTTACATACAATGACTTCAAATAATAACAACTGACAACAGTTTCTCGTCGTCAATGGCAATGGCTGAAATTGTTATGAATTTTTTATGTGATCCGAGAAACCAGAAATTATGACGGAATTGTTCTGTAGTTACAACACCACCTTTTTCCTCGCTTCCAATTCTCGTTACATACAATGACTTCAAATAATAACAACTGTCAACAGTTTCTCGTCGTCAATGAATGGCAATGGCTGAAATTGTTATGAATTTTTTATGTGATCCGAGAAACCTGAAATTATGACGGAATTGTTCTGTAGTTACAACACCACCTTTTTCCTCGCTTCCAATTCTCGTTACATACAATGACTTCAAATAATAACAACTGACAACAGTTTCTCGTCGTCAATGGCAATGCCAAACAGGTTCTAACAGTAACACAGTATGCCAGCCTGTTCGATTTAACCAGCTGTCTGCTCAAGTGTCTTCACTCATTATCTTCTTCGTCCCTTCGAGACGAACTTGTATACTTCATAAATGACCGTCTGGTCACAGAGGAGAGACATACAGAGAGGAAACTCACACTCGATAACCTCAATTTTTGTGTCACGCGTTCCACGCGCCACGCTAAAAATCTTCCAGCCAGTGCCGTTGCTGAAATTTCATAGCAAAAGATAGGGAAAACGCCGTTCGAAAGGTGAAAATCGCCTTTTTTAAAAAAAGGACAGCAAATTTGTCACCGGACAGAACAGTGTCGTGTTGCGTATCTTGAGCGCATCTATAAAGCGCTAACTATGTAATTATGCCCCCCATTGAATTAAATTGTCAATATTCGACGCTGCTAAAGGTGATTCATTGAGACATTTATATTTGTCAGTTAGATTGTTGGGGGGGGGGGGGGGAATTG